GGAAACAATAAAGAGAACAATTAGAAACAGGAGAGGGTTGAAAATTACTTGATTCGCAAATCCTTTCTTTCTTCTTAATTCCTGTTCTTTTATTGATCTCTCTCCTTAATATTTTCTCTATTTTTCATATTATTTCACACTTGGTAAACCCCTAGCTTCTTAGTGGCTTTATTGCCTTGTTTGGAGTGAAATGACAAAAAAAAAAAAAAAAAAACAATTGCTGTATTATGCAAAACTATCTCTCATGCAGCTTACTCAGATTTCAATTTCCTATTGTAGAGTAACTGGCCAATGGTTAATTGTAATTCCCTAAAATGCCAACAAATTGAATTGACAAAGATTCCAATAAACAATAATAAAAGAAAGAAAAAGAACAGGGCAAAATAATGCTAAGCAACCAAAATATATGCAAGTCAAAACTAGACAAAGCAAAAATAAGAAGGCAAAATATTCACAATGTAAGAATGGCGTTAACATGCAAAACGGAAGAGTCAAGTGTTGTAGCGTTCCGACTTCATAAAAAGAAAGAACAAAGATATGGTAGATGAGTCTGAGAAGTGGTCCATTTTATTGGTTAGGAAGAAATCCCAGCATGCATCAGTATGATTTGTCTATAAATCTGTGGGATGAGAGATTTTTGGCAGTCATTCCCTGTGATATTGGAACCAACACCTATACTCATGATTTATTTTGAATCTCCTTCCAATTGACATGTCAGTGTAAAAAGACCCAGAAATTTTTCACAAGATATCTCATCAATCAGTATTTTCTAGAAGATATGAATAGGCATAGCAAACATTATTTTATTGCTTTTTAATCATATATGTCAATAACTGAGAAGAATAAGCCATGGTTGGAGGCAATGAACATAATGGCAAAAAAAAAGAATTGTAGCTGTTAGAAATTATGGAGTATACATCAGATTATGTAAATGCATCTAAAGTGCATTGTGAAATCTTGAAACATTCATTTGAATGTAATAACATATTATTTGAATCATGATAAGAAGTTCTCATTGTTGGTAATAGGACATGACAAGACTGGAAAGGACAGGAAGAGAAATGATGATAGGTAGAGAAAATAGTGAATATTACTTGTAGAAACCAGGTGAATGAAAAAGAAGATAAATTGAATGTGTGTATATTGGGGAAAAAAAAGAAGGAAAGTGAGAAAATAGATAAACAAAATTTGTGTTAATTGGAAAAAGGAAATCCAGTAAAAAAAAAGAAAAAGGAAGAGAAAAATGAGAAAATAGATAGACAGATTTTGTGTAGATTGGAAAAAGAAAATCCAGAAGAAAAAGAATTAAGAGATGGAAAAATAGATAGTGATTCACACCAGGAACTACCAGAGTTCTGAATCAAATTAATGTCAATCAAGAACATTTGATCTAAGAAGAGTTGATCTGTGGTGACCCCAATATGTACTTGGTTCACCCTATATTTTCTTCTCAATGTCACCTTGAAAAAAGTTAAAAGACCACTAAGGGTTGACTTAGAAGCTAGCCTCAAAGCTACCAAGTACCGAATTGGGCCTCAAAGGTTGTCAGTGAACCAATATAAACAAGGAAGTAAATCTAGCTGAAGTTAGGATGTATACACACAAGACAACCAGTTCAATACTGTAGCTCCAATGCCAAACACTCTTTCTCTCTCTATATATAAAATTTTAAAATACATACATATATATATATATATATATATACACAGACACACACACACACACACACATGTATAAGCCAATTTCATGTATAGTGTGATCCCTGAATTTTTTGCATGAATTTTAACCCCTAAGAAAAATTTATCTGTATATAAACAGAAACTAAAAATGCATGATTTTTAACCTCTTAAAAAATTACCGATGTAATTTACTATTTTTTGTATAAAGAACTGATCATAAAACTGGCACTATACTTTAGTATATGCAGTACATATACATACATACATACATACATACATACATATATATATATATATATATATAAAGAAAATATACTCTTAAGGTGTGCTATATTTATGGGATAAAGTGCTCAATATCAGAGATTGAGCAGGTGTAAATATATATATATATATATATATATATATATATATATATATATTGGTCAGCAACCTTTCTTTTAAACATTTTCATTAAATATGATAAAGAAAATTGAATTTTTATTTACTTTTTAGTGTTCTTACATTTTCCATTTGGTGAGAGTAAGGGAGTGCAAAAATTGTCCATTTTCCCAAATGCTTTTGGCCACTTCTTTAGCCATTTTCAAGGGCTGGGGGTTGTTTTAGTTATATTTGTGCTGTTAATTTCTCTTCTTGTTTTAACTGTTTAAGATGTATTTTATTTTTGTGTTGTTTTGATAACTAGTAGCAGTGTTTATTCCAAGTCTTCACATGTTGAGTGTGACTGGAAATGAGTGTCTTTCTATTTTTTTAAAAACTTTCAGCAATCCATTCCCACTATTAAATAATGTGAAGTTGAGTAGACTCCTCGGATGTCACATATCAGATCAAAGTACTATAAAAAAAACATCTATCTACCCACAATTTACATGAACACTTAAGAAAAATTCTGGTTGAAAACCCTAAAATTCTACATAAATCACACTACTGGAAACATCTTGCTATAAGCGAGTCTCTCTATATTAAACGTCTCTCCCAATATCACCTTATGGCTACATTACCATTATGTATTCAGAATTAGTTTACTGTATTGATACTATCTTTGATCATTGCTGGGTGACCACTTGGGAATACCAGGTGCTGTCAGTATGGATGTGTTGGTGGTGTAATGGCTAATGACACAGAATTGTTAATCAGAGAGCCAAGTTCCAATTCCTGTTGGTTTCATTATATTACATTATGCACAAATACCCCTGGGAAAGGTAGGAATCCAGCTCTTCTCCTCCAGCTATGGGTTAATTAATAATAAGATTTGTATCACTCAAATATTATTTTCTAAAAGAAAATAAATCTTATAATCTGAATGATTTTCTGGCTTTAAATAAAATGGTTGATAAGCTATAGAAAAAGAATTAATCTAAAAAATTGGTTGTTACATAAATTTAATTAAGCATTCATCTTAAAGAATGGTATGACTTTGTATTATCAGAAAAAGGGAATTGTTGACATTTTAATGTCTTTTCAAGTTAAGTTGGTTAATTAATGACTTATCAAAACCAGGCTATTTAAATATGAATTCAAGTTGTCTAGGATGAAAATTGCAATTAAATAATAGATTGATAGACTGTCTATATATCTGAGATGATGAGGTTGAAATAATAGACAGAGAACATCACTGGAAAATATAAAAACTTAAGGAATCAGCACATATGCTAGGCCACAAAAATCTCCTGAGCCGACCAAGCATAGAATACAATATAAGAACCAGTAATAAGGAGAGCTAGCAAAAAGCAATGACTAACAACAAAAATTGCAATAATAATAATAACAGAAAAATTGCAATATGAGCACTGGTAAAAAATGTTTGCTGAGACATTAGGTTTATAAGTCCCAAACATTTATACACAAATGTCCTCAAGGACACATGGCCCAGTGGATAAAGATGTTGGTTAGATCCATTGACTAGACCCATAGAGTTGTCAGTTCAATACCATAATTGGAGAGTTGAGTTAAAGAGAAATAACTGAGACATCAGGAAGAGGCATGGCACATGGAACTAGAACAATCTACCTTGGTGGGCGTAATAAAGAGTTTGGTTCAAAAATCAAATCAACTGAAGAAGGCAGGTGTGTACAACACCTGAAACATTGTGAATATAGCAATGAAGATGGGGATAACAGTTCAAATAATGTAAATAATGCCAGATAGGCAGATAATTCCATGTAAAGGAATATGTCTCGTTTGCACAAGATTTAAAAAGATAGATATTTTTTATACTAATGTTCACCGAAAATAAGGTCCAAGAGCCACTCAAAGTAGAGGGTTAATGTATGGTGCATAAGAAAAAGCCAAGAAATGCAGTTCATGAGATTATGTTGGAAAGATAATGGTTAACCCTAAACTTGAAGAATCAGGATTTCAATGATTGGGAAAATATTCTGATGCACATCTATTCCACAAATCAGCAATTCTTGGGAAGAAGATGTCCAAGTTGAGCTTAGTTCTTACTAATGGAATACAAACAGCATACAGACAATTCATCTTTGGGTACATGGTATGGTGGGTCCCAGTTGCAAAGGCGTTGTAAGGTGGAAAAATAATTCATCACTCACATGACCACATAGATGCTTTTGATCTCAAGACAGGCAAGTGAGACTGAGCAGAAATTGTTCAAACTTCTGGTTTTGCACTAGTGTCAAAAAGATAGCCATAGGTCCAATTTATATTAGAGTCACAAAAGAAGGCCCTAGTTTGGTTTTACATTGGAGTCAGAAAGGTAGATATGTTCAGTTTGCACTTTAGTCAGAAAGGTAAACAGGTTCAATTTACACTAGAGTCAGAAAGGTAGACAGGTTCAGTTTAGACTAGATTCAGAAAGATAGACAGGTTCAGTTTAGACTAGAGTCAGAAAGGTAGACAGGTTCAGTTTAGACTAGAGTCAGAAAGGTAAACAGGTTCAGTTTACAGTAGAGTCAGAAAGGTTGACATAGCTATGGTTTTTTGCTGGATTAAAAAAATGAGGCACATTTGGTTTACACTAGATTAAAAAGGCAGATCTTTGTTGAATTTACACATGAGTAAAAAGCTAGACACTAGGAACAAAAATTGAGATTGATTAATTCATTTTTTGTTGCTTAACAACTTTTTGCAGGTTATTTAAAGTCAGAAATATATTTATATTGTATGAATATTTTTGAAGATAAGGATTTAGTGATACATATCCTAGTAATTAACCCATAGCTGGAGGAGAAGTGGATTCATACCTTTTCCAATGCTATTTGCTTGTAAGTGAATTTAATGAACCCAACTGGAATTGGAACTTGGCTTTTTTTCTATGATTAGCAATTCAGAGTCATTATCTATTACAAAACCTGTGCATCAAGTTTACAGTACCTGGTATTCCCAAGTGGTCACCCATCTAGGTACTGACCAGGATCAATGTTGCTTAACTTCAGTGATTTTTACAGGAACCGGTGTTTCAATATGACGTGACTCTAAGTGTCAGAATGGGAGACATAAGTCTGCTTTATACCTAAGTCTTCATGTCTCCACCTGGAAAATGGTTCCATTTTGTAAGGTAGGGGGTCCCTCAGCAGTGATACAGTAAGCTTATTCTAAGCCCCAATAACATGGCAGGGCTCATTAACTGTTCAAAACTATATCTTCAGTTGTTATTTTAATTTAACTATTCATCCCAAAGAATGTTACTAAATGATTCAAGAAGAAAATATTTTATATTTAAATATTCAAAATATTTTTTTTTTTTAATCATTTCACCCCAAGCAAGGCAATATACCCTCTAGGACAGAGAGGGTTGCAGAGAAGTGAAAGAGAATGAGAAGACTTCAGTGAGGAAAAGTGTGGAAAGGGCAATAAAGGAATATGGTTTAGGAAGATAGATGACAAATGATGTTGGATTTATATTTTTTGAAGATTGTAGTTGGCAGAGAAGCAAGAAATCTGAAGGGTCTTCCATATATGAGAAGTACAAGAAAAGAAACTTAGAATAGAAGTGTCAGTTGCATTTAGTTCAACAATAAAATGGTGAGACCTAGTAGCATGCTTAAATTCATGTAGTTGAGGCATTAGCAAAAAGAGCTCATCAGAACAATTACCAGTTGTGAAAGATAAGATGACTTACCTCATGTGGCAAAACGAGCACGTATATCCCTACCATGCAAAACAAGTGAAGGAAAGAAAAAAAGAAATATGGCCACCCTGACACCTTAATTTAAGAAAGACATGGTCTTGGAGCTAGGTGAATTGGTGAGAGTGGTTGGGAGTATGCAAAATCTTTACGAGATCAGCTCGGCATAAAAAACACCATGCAAGAGAGAATAGAGAGTTTGCTTGTGAATGTGGTGCTGCTTGTACAGAGAGACTTTGTCAGTTGAAAAGAGATTACTTGGGTCAGTTTCACACACTCTCTTCATATTTTTTCTATTTGTCTTTGTGGAAGAAACCAGATCCCAAACAACAAAGTTCTCCTCCATCATGACACACCATACATTTCAATGGGCCAGACACCTTGCCTGAATGCAAGACATCCAATTACCTAAACAAATCCTCTTCTCAGAGCTTACATCTGGCAAGAGACCACATGTAGCCCCATGTCATCGGTTTAAGGATCAGCTCAAAAACACTTTGCTGAGGACAGAAATCAATCTGGTCAATTGGGAGACGGAAGCTACAGAAAAAAACCATTGAAGAAGAGCAGTTCACAAAAAAAAACAACATCCTTCAAAAACATAACGAATATTATGTGTATAACCTATAACCATATTACAGATATGAATTCGAAAGGATTTTACTGTAGAAAATTAATTGAAAATAATCTTAATATATAGTTGTTGGTTGATTTTTTTTTCAGCAAATCACTTGAATGATTACTGATATAACACAACAATTAACAAGAGTATATAGATAAATTCATTGTAAATCATTTTCATGTTATTATGCATATTATGCATTGAAAATCAGGAAAAAATAGATTAATGATCAGAAAGTCATAAATAGGAATGTTGTCATCATTAGCAGAACTCGTTGCCCAGTATTGGGGTACTCATCGACTTTTGTGTTAAATGATTTCTATTGTTGGATCTGAAGAGATGTCTGCAGTCACTGTATGGTATGGTAGGAGGGTTCAGGGTATGGAGAGCTCTGGTTTTTCTTTTGGGGCTCTATAGAAGAGAAGATGACTTACCTTGTGTGGCAAAGCAAGAATGTATATGCCTGTCATGGAAAACAAGTGAAGGAAAGGAAAAAAGAAATATGGTCACCCTGACACCTTAATTCAAGAAAGACATGGTCTTAGAGCTGGGGGAATTGGTGAGAGTGGTTGGGTGTACGCAAAATTTTTGTGAGATCAACTTGGCATAAAAAACACCACGAGAAAGCTGTACCATGTTTACGAACATACTGACAGAATAGTCAGTATGTTTGTAAATACATGGTACAGCTTTCATGGAGAGACTTTGTCAGTTGGAAAAGCGATTACTTGGGTCAGTTTTACAAATAATTGTAGAAAAAAGAGAGAAGACACATCACGCCACTGAGAAAGTGGGCCAAAGTTGAGATGTCAGGTCAGGATCGACCATATTACTGTCCCTTTGATTTTATTATTTATATGAGTTTCCCTGAAAATAAATTAATTAGATAGAAAGCAACAACTTTATATTTAAATGAGGCTTTATTTTAAATGTTCAAAATTCTTTTGCTTCAAGGCATTGAGAACCTGAATTGCATGCATCGATTAACGTACATTCAGGAAATGTGTAACCATTTGCTTTGGTTGTGGTATATAATTAGACAAATGTATTGTGTCTTCTGGTACAAACTTTGTAAGGTCTCCCTATAAGAAGAGGTCAAGTGGTGTTAAATCTGC